TATGATTCGTTAATTTTTTTTTGTAATCCATGATAGAATTTTTTAAAAATTTGTGATTTTTTTTTTAATCCATGATCGATTTTTTTGAAAATTTGTTATTTTTTTTTTTAATCCATATTATTCAAAGAGAAAATGAGAGAGATGATGATTCTGAGGCCACCCTATCCCAGCCATATTATTCACATATCGAGTCCCAACAGCAACAGTGTAGGGATGAGCACGAAATATTGTAAATTAAATGCTGAATGGCGGTTCATGCAGGGAAAGAACATATCAATATTCGCATATTCATTCAAAAACATGAAAATTCTTAATGGAGTACCCTCATTTTTTATTGAATTCCTAAAAAACAATATTTATAATGAATTTTAATAATTTTTTCGAATTTGTTTTAAGCTTTATTCTGACCGATTCACCTGATTCCCGATCCGGATCGCCGATTCGCCGATCCGAATCGGTTTTTTGGAAGCCCGATCAGGGTCACCGATCCGTTTTTTAAACAATCGGTTTTATGTATTAGCGATCTCTTCATTATTTTGCTGCTTTTTATTTTCGTACTCCATTTTGAAAAGCAGTTGACATGAAATTGTGATCATCTCAAACATCTTGGCATGAAAAGTAGCTAGACCTAACCTGAAAATGCATCAATGGGAATGCATTTCCAAGAAGACTCGAGTGGCATTATCAGGGTAGAATTTCATTTAAGGGTTGAAAATCTTTACAAAATTTTTAAAAAGTCATAAAATTCTAATTAATATTGGGGTTTAATTTTTTCCTTTTCATTTTAGATACCTCTTGAAATTTTTTTTTTTTTTTTCAAATTGCCCTTGTTTCGAATTGGGATTTAGCGACACTCAAGGGCATCTCTCAAATCACCATTGTTATTCCTCACTAGAAATAAGCAACAAATTAGTAATCAGAAAAAACTAGGGCATTTTTGTTACTTGAGACATGCAAGGAACAAATGGTAGAAATATCCTTAGTTGTCCCTTGTTACTAGCCATAAAAAATGTGTTTCTTATTTATATTTAGAAACAACTAAGGTTTCTTTGATGTTGAGGGTCCATTAGGGGTCAAATTAGTGAAATATCCCTGATAATTCCTCCGTTTTCAATCGAGAACAAGTACAATTTAGGGATTTTTATTTTTTGCGAGATACTAAAGGGAAATGATAAAAAATAAAAAATAAAAAAAGTGGAAAAAGTATCTTTTCCGATATTAATTGCAATCATTTGAACCTTTTTATAATTTGGATAAGGTTTCTATGAGTCCTTTTTTGAAAATCTATCTTTGAGGTGGATTTTGGATTTAATTTTTAAGAAATATACAATCTCTAACATGGAGATCATGATTGATTTTTAAAAATAAAAATAATAATTTTATAAAAATATATATAAACCATTGATTTTAACTTTCTTGAAGGACTTTACATTAAAAATAGATGCTTTACACCTCAGAGAACATAGATGTGGGAATGTGTTTGCTGGTACATAGAATATTTTTTCGTTATAATTTTGGTTTTCATAAAATTATTTCTCGAGAAATATGTGAAATGTGAAAAGAATTTTATCATGTAGTTAGTAGTTAGGTATGGAATTATTTTCATATCTATTGGTCCGAATGTATCTTTTCACACTAATTGATAGCTAATCAGTACAAAAAGATTCTTACATCTAACCACATAAAAAAAAATTCACATAAATGTTTTTTTAAAAAAATATTTTTACACAAACCAAAAATGCCCTAAAGATTTTCAATCCATTAAGGGGTAGTTGATGAAAACTCCAAAGTCTCTCTCTCACTCGGTCTAACCAAACAAAATAGGGGAAATTGTTAAAACCCCTCAAGATGGATTTTTTTCCCACCTTACACTCCACTCAACTTTTTTTAGCAACTTCTCCCCCAAAAAATGATGTTTTCTAGTTAATGTCCTATACACAAAAAGTTCACTTATTTTAGATGAAAATACCCTTCCCTCACATAATAAATTATTTTCGTTAGAGAGGGAGGTCCGACATTTTGATCCAGTGGTCCGATGATGGAATACCCTTCCCTCACAGAATAAATTATTTTCGTTACAGAGGGTGTTCCGACATTTTGATCCAGTGGTCCGACGATGGCGAATGGGTGGTCCGGCGTTTCATGGTGGCGGTCCATAAGAGAGGGTTGTCCGTTATTTTGAATAAGCACCCTGACGATTTCTTTTGGCTGGAATGAGCGGTCCGGCGTTTTATAGTGGCGGTCTGGTGATTATTTTTTTGTTGGGGTGGTCGGTCAGACATTTGGAAGTTATGGTCCAAGATTTTGAAGTTGCGGTCCGAGATTTTGAAGGGGCAATCTGGTATTTTCTAGGGGCAGTCAAGGGTTTTGAAGTACGCGAGACTCACCAGTCCGAATTGTATAAATGCGTTCTAGCTCAGGGTTTCGAAGTACGCAAGACTGACCAGTCCGACGTTGTATAAATGCAGTCGAGTGTTTTTTTTATTGGGCTCCGAAATTAATTTGTCAGGTGAAAAAAAGGTATTTTTTAAAAAAAAACCAAAAAAAAAAAAATAGTGACTCTTTGAGTTGGGGTATTAATTATAAAAGATAGTTTTTGAAAAAAATAAATGAGAAAAGTTTACGGTGGGGTAGAGTCTCTAAAAAGCGTCTTTTTTTTTTTTTTAAAGGCTTTTAGCAATTTCCCAACAAAATGTCTCCCTCACATTTTAGCGTCTCTCTCTTACTCTTACAAAATCTAAGTCCCTCTAAATCTCTCTCTAACCAAATCTGAAGTGTCTTCTCTCTAAACCGAAGCTAGTGTTTTGTCGTTCAAGGAAACCGAGGAAAACTCCACAACAGCATCCTCAGAACCCTATTTCAGAAAGGCTCTCTCCTAACCTGAAATATAACCTGATAAATGCGGCAAGGGCCATTTCTCTGTTATTTATTTATTTATTTATAAAAGCACAGATCCAGTTATTTGATTTTTCACAGAAGTTGGTAACTTGGTTGTTCTTTGAGAGTGATAATTCTTGGGGTTATTGAACATGATATTATGTTAGAGAGGGAAATCCTTCTTACTTTAATTGGGTTTTTTTCGAGAGAAAAAGCATTCTTACGTTCTGGGTTTCTGAACTTTATTACCTTTATAATCTCAGAAAACTAGGAAAACAGAAAAGCAAGAGATCAGAGGCATTGCAATGGGTTTTTCTTGTGCTTACATGCCGATACTCGCATATTTTTGGGCATTCTTAGCTCTCATGTTACAGTGGTAGGCTCAATTAGTGAAAGGAGATTAGGGCACCAAGTGGCTCAGAGAAAAATGTGCATGCCCAATAGAATAAGAATTAACATGCTTCGGAAATGGGAGTTATGATCCGGTCGTATTTTTCGAGATCCATAAAGGTTTTTATGTATTGTTTTGCCTTTGTTTTAGGGCCACTTACACAAAATGAGTGCTCTTTGTTTTCTCTGCAAGTTATGTATACTTCACCATCGTAATTTGATCAGTTGGTCATGGTAATATTACTTTTATGTTTATGCATCCATGCATGTCAGTGAGACTGAATTCTATAAACAGATAGGTCAGTTATGATCATATGCAAATGTATTATTGACCAAATTATACCTTGATTCAAGATCATACTGGTGCAAATAAAGGGTTATCAAATTATTGGGTTGGGTGTGAGAAGGGGCTACGGTTACAGTTCTTGGAAACGTGAATGAGAGTAAGATCGAAGAAGGCATAAGGCATTTTCATAGAGTTGAATTTAAAGAGGATGCGGTTTGCTGTTTCCTGTTGTTGTTTGGGGATACTTGTCTATACAATTGTTGCATGTTTTTTCTATTTTTCGTTATTACACACACACGCACATATGTACACATAAATATCGAAGGGACGCTTGTGTATACATGCCATGATTGCAATGCATTTTCTTTTATAAGCCTGTTTCTTCATTTATCGTTTATGTGCTAATATGCTATCCTCTTGAGAGTTGATTATAGTATCTTTCTCTCTACAGAGTTCTGTCCGCTAGAGCTTATTGTGAAAGCACATGACCTGAAATTGCTTTAGAGAAGGTTAGTTTTCTGATCCCTTAGGTTTCTTTTAAATGAGATGAAGCTGCCTTCTTTTTAGTAGAAAGTTTTGGGTCCTTGAACTGCAATATATGGTAGTGAGAAATAAGGATTTTTGAGAAATACAGTATGAATCTATATGTAGGGATGTTTGAGGAGTAGAAACCAAGGGGAGGTTCTTTGTGTGTGTGTGTAGAGAGAGAGAGAGAGAGAGAGAGAGAGAGAGAGAGAGAGAGAGAGAGA